TATATATATAATAAATGTACCATGAAATATTATATACTTTTTACCGTATATAGTAATGTAACTTACAGTAAAGCTGACATATATTGACTATGCATACAGTGCTGGGTAGTAACTGATTATATCTGGTTATATTTTTCATTTTTTACTTGTATTTTCTTTACTAAAAAAGCCTATTGCTTATATATATTCAGAATGTTTTCCAGTTTTGTGGAATTGCACACATACACAGTAGTCACAGTAGTCAGACGACTTCACAGCATAAACAAATAAAATGTTCATGTTTTTATTTTAAAATCATTTCTTTCTTTCAATTTAACATTTTTAAGATTTAATTAATTATTGGCTTCACTCCTTCACAAACCTCAGTTTGGGAAACCATGACATAATATAATGTTTAATGCACTTAATTTTGTTGATAACAAAGAATGGAATACATTTTCTTTCTTTTTGTATTTTTATATTTATATGGTTCAAGATTATCGTAGGAAATCAATCAATGTAATAAACGAGTTAGGTCAAAAATTGTAAAAATAATCAAAAAGTAGTCAGATTATATTGGTTAAATGTAACATTAAATTACTAACCACAAGTTTCATCTAGGCATGGGCTGATTACCGGTTTCAAGGTATACCGCGTTTTGAAGATTTCACGGTTTCAAAACCACTAATATTTTCCGGCAATACCGTTCCTGCGGTATGCTCTGTTTTTCATGTCTCCTCAAAGACCGAAAGTGTAGGGATCCCTCAGATTGAGTTCAGTGTAGAGAGTAACACGACCCTCCCCCTCCTGTTGGTGCAGTCAGTCATGTGTGTGTATGACGGCCGAAGGAGCTTCCCCTGGAACTTACGCGATCGGCAACCGGACGTTTTTTTGTTTTATTGCAACTTGTCTCTGTTCTGGACTTGCACAAACTGCGTTGCAATGCAATCATTTTCCAAAATGTCATTTATGTGAAAATATGAAGTATGTAAACGCCCGTTAACAGAGGCCAGAGACGCTGAAGAAGGACACAAAGAGAAAAATACTGTAGCAGGCAGATCACTCACTGTTCATGATGCACGAAGTATTGGAAGAAAAAATCCTAAATATTGATTTGGGGTTAATATGAATGTGTTTCTGAGGGGAACTGAGTCTTCAGAAAAGTTTACGTGGTGTTTTCTTTTCATCTCGTCTCTGTATAGTTCATATTAAAGCAGTGTTTCAGTGCAGGGCTGATGTCAGTCTTTATTTTTCTTCTTTTTAGGAAACAAATCAAAGAAAAACTAAACAAATACTACTGTTCCAAATATTCTGTATGTTGCTCAAAAACAAAATATATCATGTGTAGCGGGAAAAAGTTTATTTTATTTTTTTTAACCCAGTCATTTAAAAATAACACATTTTAGAGCTGTAACGACAATACCGTGATACCGTGAAACCGTGATATTTTTGCTTAAGGTTATCATACCATCAAAATCTCATACCGGCCCATGCCTAGTTTCATCATGTAATTTGTGTTCAGTAAAGAACTACAATTTGTTACTAATTTACCAGCACTGTATGTATATCATGGGAAAATGTGATATTACATCTCATCTATAAACTTTTTTTTTTTTTTTCAGTTTACAATAAGTGCCTGGAATGCAATGAACTCCAAAGCAGCGGGCAGTGATGCTATTGGTACCCAGACTGAAAATACAACAGGACAGGGATCGTCTCAGCAGTCTGACTGCTTTACACTTCAGCTTCACTCTTTAACCCCAGGGCAGGAGTCTTGGCAGATGACATCTGGAGAGAAATGGGCTTGGGTGCTGTCTCACAAGCAAAGGGGTGGTCAGCGGTTTGGGAAGGGCGATATCTGGGGTGCGGCAGACTGCTACTGTAGAGCGGTGAAACTGGCAATAACTTTAAATGGCAAGACAAGAAGAAAGCCAGTAGACGAGGTGTCTAAAGAAGGTGTGGATGAAGATGATGATGATGATGCAGCTTTGACGCCATGCTTTGATAAAGAAAATGAGCAGGCAGTTGCTGATGTGTCCATTCCAACTGAGGAGGAGTACAAAACTGTAAAAGCAGAACTTCACTGCAATCTTTCTTTATGCCAACTTAAGTTAGGCCAGCTTGGTAAGTCCAGAGACAGCAGTATCAAGGCCACTGAGCTGAACCCAAGGAGCACTAAGGCCTGGTACCGGCTTGGGCAAGCTTGCCTTCAACTGGGTGAACTGGAGGAATCTCGCATGGCCTTTGGAAAGATTCTGGAACTCCAGCCTGATTCTGCATCGGCTCGCACTGCTCTGAAACAAGTGAACTCTAGATTAAAGGACTTAGACAGTAAACTCGGTCAAAGGCTGAGCAAGATGTTTAACTAGAAAGTTGGGAATTACAAAAGCAGAACATGTGCATATGTATGAAAATTATAAAAACTGTAAAGTGCCCAGAAGTTGTTTTGGGTCTTTCCTTGTAGCTTAAAGGATTAGTTCACTTCCAGACTAAAAATTTCCTGATAATTTACTCACCCCCATGTCATCCAAGATGTTAATGTCTTTCTTTCTTCAGTCGAAGAGAAATTAGATTTAGAGGAAAACATTCCAGGATTTTTCTCCATATAATGGACTTCAATGGTGGCCAATGGGTTGAAGGTCCAAATTGCAGTTTCAGTGCAGCTTCAAAGGGCTCTACACGATCCCAGCCGAGGAATAGGGGTCTTATCTAGAGAAACGATCTGTCATTTTCTAAAAAACAAAAACCATGTTTTAACCACATCTTGCACTAGCTCGACTTCACACATTACGTAGTCACGTTGGAAAGGTCATGCACATTAGCTCTTCGTCTGTGTACTCCAGGGCATTTGACTTTCTTTGCACGTTCGCTTTGTAAACACTGGGTCGGTACTTCCACCTACGTCACGCGTGACCTTTCCAACATGATTACGTAATGTGTGAAGTCGAGCTAGTGCAAGACGAGTATTTGTGGTTAAAACATATATACATTTATTTTATTTTTACAAGAAAATGACCGACCGTTTTGCTACAAAAGACTCCTATTCCTCGGCTGGGATCGTGTATAGCCCTTTGAAGCTGCACTGAAACTGCAATTTGGACCTTCAAATGGTTCCCATTGAAGTCCATTATATGGAGAAAAATCCTGGAATGTTTTCCTCAAAAACCATAATTTTTTTCAACTGAAGAAAGAAAGACATGAACATCTTGGATGACACAGGAGTGAGTAAATTATCAGGAAATTTTTATTCTGGAATTGAACTAATCCTTTTAACTTTAAACCTTGAAGTATGTTTTCTGTATGGGTAGTATACTATCTTAAATGTTCAATGTTGTAATTTGTCAATGTTTAAATCGACATAAACTTGAAAGTTGTGCAAAGTCAAAAGACTGCTTACTGAATGTACTTAACATTTTTGTAAAATAAAAATATACTGCTTTGTTTTGTTCTAAAACATGTTTTCATTCTGGATTGATAACTGCTGTAGAAAATGATCAAAAGCCACGTATAATGCATTCTTGCATCAAATGACAATAAATAATGTTATTTATAAAAATAATGTTTTTTCGGTTTGTTTTGTTTTTATTGATAAAAAGTTAACACAAAATATGAACAATTAAACCGAAGAAGCATTACCCATTTCAAACATAAAATAATAGAATATTTCAGGGGATGCAAAATATATTGTCATAATATCTTTTTGTTTTGTTTGCAGAAAAGTTTAAAATCATACTATAAACAGCCGAACGGGAGTGGGTGGGATATGATTGTGCATATTTTTGCTTTATAAATAATTTTTTAAAGGGGTGTTTAATGAGTTAATTTTGTAGCCAATGGCATCATGTTTTTCAGGTAGAGGCGGCCAATCAGACGACGCCTCCTCGCAACCGTTACATTAAAAAGCTCTAGATGAGCAGCTAGTGACAAAAATGAACATTTACATTTGCAAACTCTACAAAGCAGGAGGTAATTAATGAGGTAAGAAGATTCTTGTATCATAACTATGTGGGGGGGAAAAAAACAATCGATTCTTACAGTAATGTTTCTTGATGTTGCTGCCGAGTTGTGCGACGAGAACTAACGTGTGAGAGATAACCTTCCTGCTTCACAATTAACGTTAGGCCTAATGGTTGTATGACTAAAATAGCCCAGTATACCGTGTAACAAGTCATAATAGAGCATATCAGTGAACGTTGTTATTAATGTAGGCTAGACTATTAATATTCGATTGTTCGGCCTAGCACGGACAGTCAAATTTTGTAACTGCGGCCCAGCACGGACAATAAAATCTGCGGAAATAAACCAATAACTTTATGGTGCCATGAAAACGTTCTGCGTGTCCTGAGGATGTACGTTCAATGAGGCATGGAAGCTGTTTTAATAAGTGTAAACAGCATGAAACAAAATACAGGAATACATTCTCTGTGTGCGGTTATCGTTTATTTTTAAAGCAGTGTTAAAAAAAAAGTCTGCTCAAACTTTTAAAGCAGCATTTTGTAATTTGTTTGCCACAATGATAATGTTTGCCCGAAATGATAATGGCTAAAGGGAATTGCAAAATAATGACCGTTTCCCAACAGGTTTTCCAAACACTGCCGACGCTTTTTTAAACAAACCACATTTTGCCTCCGCACTGACCCCACTGGTTGAGGCAAGAGCCACTGCCAACGGCTTTGTTTCGGTTATCGTTTTGACAAATATTACTAAAATTATTTGTGCTGCATAGTAAGACCATCAATATAACAAGACATAAAAATGTGGCTTATTCTTGTCTTTATCAGCTCAAACAAAATTATAAAAACAAGATGTGATTATTTTAATCACTTATTAAACTGAATTAAACTGAAAGACGTTTACATACATTTTAATTATTTAATTAAATTTAATTTAATCAGTCGTTGCATACATTGCAAATCATTGCAAATCCTGTCGTTACTGTTCAGATAATGCTAACCCATGTTCATTTCAGCAGTTCATTCATCATTGCAGAGTTGTTAATGTCACGTCTCCGCGTGACATGTTACGTGTACTGTTCAGATAAGTAGTGCTAAAAAGTAGTTATTTTTATTAGCGTTATAGATATTATAGATACGTTATGTGTATATCTATAACGCTAATAAAAATAACTACTTTTTAGCACTACTTATCTGAACAGTACACGTAACATGCCACGCGGAGACGTGACATTAACAACTCTGCAATGATGAATGAACTGCTGAAATAAACATTTGGGTTCTGTGAAATTAATCGAACTTTCCAACGTTTGGCAGGAAATCTTCTTAAGATAGTGTGCTTGGAAAGTACATACAACCAGTATTCGCTGTGGATATGATGAGCCATGTTTTTTTTTAAATGGAAAATAAAAACTTGTTCACTGTGTTTGTTTATAGGTAATAACCATAGCCATTTGTGTACTACCTAAATTGGCAAGCCAGACTCCTGCTAGAAGATGTGGTATGTATGGATTCAAGGTATGTAATTCACAATTTCAGAAGTGAGTTTCATGGGTGATAAAATGATGGTACTTATTGAGGAATCATTCCAACTGGAGACACAAGTCTCTGTGGCGCAATCGGTTAGCGCGTTCGGCTGTTAACCGAAAGGTTGGTGGTTCGAGCCCACCCAGGGACGGAAGGCTTTTGTTTTGATGCTTTTATTTTGAGTAATTAATCTTGCATTAACACAGCAACATTTATTCAGACATTTGCTGTTGCGCCTTATGGTGGTTCAATAGCGATGTCTGTGTCCAGTACCGTCGCACGGGCTGTGCCAAGTGTGCGACCGCACAGGGCCTCGCTCCTGGCCTGCATTTTATGTCGTTTTTGTCTCATTTTTATTACTGTTTTTCCACCCATTTTGTCCTTTGAAAGACTAAAATAGTCATAGCTGATAGACAGTTTAAGACTGCGTGTATAAGAATGAGTAAAGCTGTTTGTTGTTAGGATGACAAAAAGTTTTGTATAAGACTCTGTGTATAAGAATGAGTAAAGCTGTTTGTTGTTAGGATGACAAAAAGTTTTAAAAGTTAAACTTTTAGGCTGGTCTGCCTCAGTGGTCCAGCGCTCGTCAATGTCAAAATGATCGAGATGGCCAATCAAATCAAAGAAGGCGGGTCTTACTGTCACTGTCACAACGCAACGAGCGTTTGTGGAAAGATGTAAGTAGTACTGTATTAGAAAACTGTTTTACGATAGAAATGTTCAGCGACCGACAGTAATAGACTATCTTAGTGATGCAAACGACTTAACTTTTTATGAAATTTCGCCGTTTTGAATTGAAAATATGCGATCATGATTCATGTAAATCATAAATGAACATGGCAAAAGACGTTTGCGTTTTCGACTATTAAACATACGAATAAGAGTGAATGTGCACATTTTAAAATAAAATATTATTTTCAGCAATAGATAATTTTTTTTCTTTCCCATTAAAGTAAAATAACTGAACATAAACATAGGAGCCTGAGAAAATAACCATTTTAGAAGAAAATTTTAGATGGCACTTAGAGGCTTTTGCATCTTAACTCTTCATATATAACTACAAACCTAGAAGTTATTTTAGCATTCTTATTTACTTATTTAATTGCTTTATTATTATTATTATTATTATGCAGTAGATCTTACAATTCTTATGAGCATGTGCGTGACTGATTCGTGCTGATCACAATCGATCAGATGCGTGTTAAAGTTGCGTTCGTTATTATAGCAC